GAGAGAGAGAGAGAGAGAGAGAGAGAGAGAGAGAGAGAGAGAGAGAGAGAGAGAGAGAGAGAGAGAGAGAGAGAGAGAAAAAAAGAGAGAGAGAGGAAAGCGTGAGAGATATTCGTTCCTTCATCATCGCCATCGAGATGATGATGATTTTCAGGACGGCGGTCGTGTTTAAGATGCTCGTATGCGGGCACATGCCATCGACGACGACGACTATGATGATGGGGATTGTCATCGTCGCGGTGATCATGACAACGATAATGATGATGACGATGACGATGACGATGACGACGACGATGACGATGATGACGACGATGATGATGATGATGATGATGATGATGATGATGATGATGATGATGATGATGATTATGATGATGATGATGATAATGATGATGATGATGATGACGATGATGATGACGATAGTGATGATGATGATGATGATGATGATGATGATGATGATGATGATGATGGTGATGATGATGATGACGATGTTGATTACGATGATGACGTTGACGATGACGATGAATCAATCCTTCCACGGGAGGAAGTGAGGATTGGTCATCCGAAGTTTTTTTTAAGCCTCGCTACGGGATAACGGACGCCTTTTTTGTGACCTCGTCGAACTTTGTTCTCCATCCGTGTTCGAAGAGAGTCAAACATTTGTATGGAGTCTTTTTTTGCTCGTTTGGGATTGACGCACTTTGCTTGGTGCAATATATATATATATATATATATATATATATATATATATATATATATATATATATATTTACAGCAGTGTCACGCCCTAGGCTACCAGCCGGGCCGCTCGGGTCCTGGGTGGCCAACCCGTGCAAGGACCAGGGAAGGTCCCATCCAAAAAACAAAAAAAACAAAAAAAATTCAACAAATCCGAAAAAAAACTATGTTATGCAGAAAAATTAACTGAACAACTTTTGCCTCAGGGTCACATCGAAATTATGCACCAAATTTAGAATAAAAAATAAAATTTTATTTTTTTAATTTTAATTATTTTTGCTCCGTCCGGGCAAGTGACCCCGGGCCTCTCTCGTAGCCTAGGTCACGTCATTTTTTTTTTATTTTTTATTTTTTTATTTTTTTGGTCTTTATTGGTCGGGTGTGATGTTCTCGACGATGAAATGGTGCTTGGGGCATCGTGTATGGATGTGCAATGTGTTCCTATGTACTTCAACGCACCGGAATTCGTCAACCGAACTGTTCAAGCAAACGAAATGAATATGTCACTTGCACTGGCTCCGGGGGATGTTATATGCAACTTCGTAAATGTATTGTTGAAAGTGAGTTTGTTGTTCAGCATTATGCGTGTCAATTACTTAAAAGACGTATGCCCCTCGAAATGCATGTGTTTTCTCCCTCCATCTCGCGCTTTGCGACCTTCATTGCTTGTGGCACCTACAATAAATTGTTAGGTCGTTCAACATGAACATGTTCCGGTAGGAAATTGGGGTTGTACAAATGTTTGCCACAAGCGCCGGGTCGATCTGCACGTTGTGCTCGAGCATCAGGTTGTGAAGAATGCAGATGGCCATGGATTTTTTGCAGACTTTCTTCAGGTTGCAAATATGTCTTCGGATGAAGTTCCTCCAAACCGCCTTCAGACGTCCGAAAGCCCGTTCAATGCATGACCTCGCTGCACTGTGGCTCAAATCGAACGCTCGATCCGCCGGCGTTCGAGCGAAACGGCCAAAAGGAGTCATGAACCATGGAAGAAGAGGGTACCCTTGATCACCCAGTAGATAACGACCAACATGTCTACCGTCGTGTAACACGGCACCTCCCTCAGAGAGACGATATACAAAAACACACGACTGTGCAATCTCCGACGACGAGGAAAACAAAACTTCATTTCAACTTTGTCGAAGTACACGAACGAATAAATGTTCCGGAAAGGTAAAAAAAACGCATCGTCTCAACCCGTCTATCCGCCCGACATGACAAAACATGACCCTCTGATAAATCCAACAGGATGTATTGACGACCGACAATACCGACACTAAACTTCTATGCCCGTATCCCCGTCCTTCGACCAACCTTCATCTGCCTCAAAGTCTTCTCCAAGACCTCGGACGTCCTAATTGACTCCTAAAATGGGTTGTGACACATAACCACACAAAAAACGAAAAAAAAGCACTACTGCCATGGGCATGGTGTCGGAGCCCCGTGGACTCACGACCTCAATAACGTCGTTCTGGCCCGCAGTAGCCAACCTCTCTCTCTCTCTCTCTCTCTCTCTCTCTCTCTCTCTCTCTCTCTCTCTCTCT